TGGTGGCATAAGATCACGCAACGTCCCCAAAAACATGCATTAAGCACTCACGCGCCGGGCAACACTATACATTCCTCTATCTCCAGTACGTGGACGCCCGTTTCTTCATCATGGGCGCCAAACTTTGCTCAAGCTTTGCATGCCGCCGGATTCTCACATGTCACAACGTCGGCTGGGTCAGCTGTGCTCATACCATTCAACGATACAGCAATCAATGGATTCGTTCCGCAGGCCTGCCGCGCCACCCTCTCAGCAGAGTGAAATCCAACCTGCACTCTGACAACCTTGTTGCTTTCCGTTTTCTCCATCACTCACGTAGTCTTCACGCCACGACTTCCTTTCGCTTAGTTTGAGCTCGTGTATATAACACGCGCAAAAACAATACGTTGCTATTACGGCCATTCCAGACCTTTATTGATGTGAGAAAACAATGAGCTTGGACAACTAGACTATCGACTCTGCATGATTCCATGCTCGGCAGCCAGCATTTGTTCACATCGACATTGGCAGCTGCGCTATCATTTTAATGTCCTCTTTTGCCCATGCCCATGTTGACAACACGCCTTCGGTATACCCTTCTAGCCTGCCTAACCAGCAAGGCAACATTTTGACGGAGCTGATTGCAGGGTCTTCACCAAGTCTTGCACAAATACTGCGTGGGACTCAGTGAATAACTGAATAACCTGTTGAATGCAGCAATTCCGCTAGAAGGTTTGCATCCCAACAGTTCACACCATTGTCCTCCGGTCTCACAGATGCCTGCCAGGACGGGCTTTCACAAAGGTGCTGGATTCATGCCGAGTGTAGAAGAAATACTTATTGGTACAGTACAACTTTTCATCTGGTTGTTCCATGCATCACAGCTTATACAACTGTAGAATCTTGAGACAGTGATCTGTGAAATACCATGTGCCAAAGTGTATGTCGCATTGTGTTTGCTTGTGACATTAAAAACCTTGTGAGATAGCGGTGAAGACTCAATCGACATGTTGGAGGGCACGTTATCAACTTTGGATGGTTTCATGGTTGCAGCCCAAGCAACACGTGCAATGCGCACAGTATTCATATAGGTACTGTGTCCATTTTTCCCCTTGACAGCAAGCGCTTCGATTCTTCAGCCATAGTAAAAGCATTGAATAAGATCGGAGCAGGGTGGGGAGCATCCGCTAAAGGTCTCAAGCAGTCGTTACTGTAACCAGTTATACATTCAATACTTACTTGAGGCCTCATGAACAATACAGGAAACAAACCAGCCAGCTTTCTAGAGGTCCTAGGGATTCCGGAGAAAGAAAGTGTGAGAAGGCTACCAAGCAGGTGTCGAACATCTTTTGAGCAATACATGAACGTATCAAACCAAAATCTCCACCTTCCTGTTGAGCATGTTGCTTACTTAAATAGGAACCTATATAGCTATAAAATGCTATGAAATACTGAACATTAAAGAACTTGTCGTTCTGCACGCTTTACAAGGACATGCGCTGTTTTAGAAGTTCAGGTCTCCACTCTGGGGCAACGATAGCTAGGTACGTCACGTACACACGCATGCAGCCGCATGCATGACTGTTTAATAAAGGCATACCAGCAAACTCTGGAAATCGATTCCACGGGACAACGGCTACTGTTAAGCCAAGCTGCAAAGGCAGTCTTGATCCTTTTCCCAGCAGTACATTGATCAATTTATTAGAGTAATCTTATCAAGTTATCCTCAGACTGTTGGCTACATGTCCATTGTGCGGTGGGAAGGCCTGGGAAACCTGTGACGGCACGCTCCAGAAATGGGAGGCCGCAGCTTTTGGAGGCCTGACTGAGTCCTGCACAAACACTGTCAAAGTTCAACACCGGGAGCCCAGCGAAGAACTTGTTGAATGCACATTTTCTATTAGCCTTAAGAAGGGAAACAGAATCATCAATGGTTGTTCTCTTTCCTTCTTTTTCGTGCTGCTTTTTGACATCAAGTGAGGCCCACAGCTACCTGAAGCATCTTCAGCCCACGGTCCTTCAGTCCCATAGATGCCTGGCAAAGCAGTTCAATCCAGGTTAAGCAGAAGTTGGTTCTTTGTGGCGCAACTTCTGGCTGACACCTCTTTGTTGGCACTTAGGACCAAAAACACAATCTGCAAATCCAACCTCCTAAACCTACACATGTCACATGCGGCTATTATAAAGAAGGATTTCAGCTGCGTGTTGATATTCACTTCTCGAACAGCAGCTCCTTCTGCAAGTTGCCACCACTAAGGCGTACAGCACGATTGTAACTCACTAACAAACTATGGCTCGCATGTATGCCAACTCTAAGTTCCTTTCAAGAAACCTTTGTTGTTTCAGCCTACAAAGGAAAGTCCAAGCATGCGGCAAGAGGTCAGCGCAAAATGATGAAAAAGGAAGCCGGCAAATGAATTTCGATATCCGGACATAGCAGGAGAAAGGGCACCAGTGGATTGTTGAGCTGGCCCTCCAAAGAACGTCTGAGATGGAAGTGACGTGGCATGACGTGACAAACTTGCAGTGCTTGACACACTGGTCCTCCAACGTGGATCTCTCTCACACACGACTAAAACACGCCAAGTCCATGCAAGTCCAAGAAACAGCCTTGAACATCGCGATTCGCTCGATAGATGCCTGGCAAACAATCCCATGCTCCATGTAGTGTAGCAAAAGCTGGTTCTGTAGAACACCATTCCTGTGCCTTGTCATGAGAAGGACCGATCTGCAACTTTAGTCTGCCAATGTGACATGTCCCAAACATAGGGGCTCAGAAACCGGCTGGCCCTGACCCTAAAGCCGTGTTCTGATCTATTGCTTTGGAAAAGAACAGCCAGCTCTGGTGTGAGTATATATTACCTGTGCTCCCATGTAGTTGTGTGGACTTAAAGTGTGTGTAGTCAATCCATGTCGATCCCACATTGTTCTCCAACTAATTCTATGAGAAGCCAGCCAGGCTGGCTGACCAATCGTCGTCATTCCATGTTGCCGCGGCCTTTCGACACAGCAGAATTTTAAGCAAGTATGGTTGAGCACTCCTTGGTTTGTTCCTGCAACAAGCAGCGCTGATCAAGTCTTGGCTCAAGCCAGAAGCCCCTTGGAGTGAGTATTCACAGCCAAATCACATTCCTAGTCAAACCCCACCTTTAACAGCCTTCGATCTCACTGCTTGTCTCCCTTGGCCTGCCTTTGGCGTCGGCGGATTTGCTGGAGGCCTTGCTTCTGCAAAGTCTGGCTAGAAGTTTCTGACGAGGAAGACACATCAAAGACAAACATCACAAGGATGTGATCTGAGAGTAAGTTGCTGATAATTAGCCTAGTTTCAATTGAGTTAAAGACCTTTTATGTCTATAGACTAGATGTTCAACTTGCGGGGGAACATTCAAGCTGATGTCACATCAACTCATTGCTGTGCAAATAGCAACTGTTCCTTCTTTGTTCAAGACACGATGATGGCTCCGCAGGCTTCGATGAAGGTGACGCGTCAGTCCGTAAGGGAAACATTCTGGCCTGCGGTCAAGGACTCTACATCCAGCGGCTCAGCGTGGCAGAGAAAAACAACATGCAATGCACTAGTACATGCCCAGGTGGCTAACTAGGGTTTAAACTAAAGAATCAATGGCAAACAACGGACGTAAAATACAGATCATGAACTTGCCACTCCCGGGCGAGTGGCCTTAAACTCATAATGTAGCTTGCGGATAGTCGCTTCTGCCTCAATCAAATCCAACCAGTTATGTCTGCGGAAAGTGTGACGGAGTTGGATCAGTTGGTATCGAAACGCTGGACCATATTATGCTACCAGAAGATGACCACTGGATATCGCCCATGTTCAGAGAGGCACCTTTCTTTCTATGACACGAGGCAGTCCATCAAAAAAAATCCGATGCGTCGTGATGTGTCCATGTGCTGTGGGCACGATATCTAGGTAGAACGCACCCATCAAACGTTTGTCCAAGCGGCGCTTGTCACACAAACTGGTTCTGTTCGATTCCTCCCCTGTGTCGGTGATCTTCTGACCTGGGGCTCATCATCCGAAAGTAGAGCAGCGCACATGGAGTGTCGTTGCAAAATTGTCATGTGTGAAGATCATCCTCAGCTTAAATATAGAAAAACACCGTTCCAAGAGTATGCATGTGACCGTACAAGCAGTTAGGTGTTACCCTTCACGATGCAGTCTCGGGACATCTCCTCGCGACCTTCGCGATTGCGGAGAGCCGTGCGGCCTGTCGTGACACGTGGCCATTAAGAGGAGCGAAGCGCTGCCAACTTAGATTGCTTCCAGCTTCAATTCTTTCACAACATCTCCTGGTTAGGGCGACAAAATGAGTAGGTTGACAAATCCACCATCATAGAGCACAAAGAACACCCTGGTGTCAAACGAGGCAGGAGGACGGGGAGTCGAGCGCCTGAGCCAGGTTCTCCAGTCTTGTTAATGCTGCTGCCGCTGACCTCACAAATCAAATCACCTGATTTTCTTGCGGATGACCTTGCATTGGAACCTCAACAAGAGCCAATTGCTTCAACTCAGCCCATTTTGCAATAATATGAGTTGATAGCTAGGGTAGGTGTGCTACAGCTGACACAGCTAGCAACAGGGGGAAGGAGCTGTTGGGCTTAGTTTGCCAGTGCAAGTGTAGCCGAGGTTTTCGCCCACTGGGGCTGACGGGCATGCACGAGCCCTCAGAGACGAGCCTGAGCAACAAAACATGCCAAAGGGGGGACCAAATCCTCAGCGAAGTACCTGGTTTGCAGTGCCTTTTCTCAGGCCTTTTGCCTAAGATGTTTGTCCAATGCCACCTACTCTGACTGTGTAGACCAGCTAAGCACTGCACTACTGAGAACGCTCGAAAGCTGAAGTGTTCCATCGGTCCGGCATCTATTCCATGGCACGAAGAGGGGCATAAAGCCAACACCCAAAGACTGTATAAGCACGTTCAATTATATCTTCGTGGAGTGACAGGTGACACCATGACTCTTAGTCTCTAGTGAGCAGCCGCTGAGGGTGTCCTTCTTGTGTGCTTTGGTGAAATAGGGTCTTTGAGCCAAACGGTGCATTGAAATCCTTCTGGGCAGCTCCCTCAATGCATTCCAATATGTTTTGAAGGGAGCAGATTCACACTGGCCGGCAGTCATTCTTTGTGCTGCAAAGGCCATGTCAGAACGTCCAAGTGAAACACATATCATCACGTTCTACGGTAGTTTCCAATCCACGGCAAAGGTGGAGCCAGCTTTCCATGTTTCCAGGAACACGCGAAGCTATGTTCGCTAGATTTCACAAACACGAAGTCAAACAGAGAGAGAGAGGGAGAGAGCACGGATGTAAGTGGTGCTAGGCACAAGCAAGGTGGCAAGCTACTAAGCAAACGAAGGCAGGAAAGTGGAAAGCGTCCAATGTGCGGTGCTCCCACAGGCAAAGGATTCCAAGACGTAGCCTGCTGGCACAATGTGCCGGATAGTCCACAGTCCACACACCGGTTGTGAGAATTCTTGCAGCAACCTGTTCTGCAGGTCCTCTGTAACTAAAGAAGTTCCTCGGTTGAGGCATCATGCGTTGGAACTTGACCAAGCGCCGACTCAACACCTCGAAGAAACAAAGCTCTTCAAGCAAAGAAACTGAAGCCAAAGCTATCGGTCCTGTCTGTTTGAGGAATTGTGCAATCAACCAGCAGGAACGTCTTTGTTGTTGTATTTCTGAGAGCCCTGATGTTTCTGCACCATTTGGAACCTATGACAACATGAGCCTTTGTGCTACGCGGGACCCTCTTGATGTTCAATCCGTGATCTCCTGAGCATGGCGCTTGACTGTGCCACTTTTTTGCTTGGAGTCCAAGCCCGGCAAATCCAAGCCCATTTTGGCTCGTTGGTGGACTAACAGGTAACGGCCGGTCGCTTGCAACTGAGAAGCAGCTTAACAATCCCATCGGTTGGGTTGACTTCCTTCCTCCTGGGCAGCAAGCTCTGGGATGAACCCTTTCTTTCGTCCACGCTCCTCTGTAGCGTGTTTCAAGGCATTTCCATCACAACTTCAAGCGAAGATGCTGGGCGACTCCATGTCACAGTTATTGGAACAACGTCTTTGTTGCTCTGAAAGCTCTCTTCTGACAACTCTCCGTTGGCAAAGTTAGAGGCATAGGTCAAGAGATTGCAACCATTTTGCCGGGACTCTGGACTGGACGACAAATATTGTCTTCAATGCAACTGGCAGGGCTCATCAACCTTACTTGGTGAATCATATTCTCAGGCGTTCCAATGCTTTGGCTATTTGCTCGGCGACTTCTTGTCTTGTCTTCTCATGGCCATCAATGTAGATGAGGCTTTTCGAGAAAACATATTTGTTTTGAATTCGGCCTGCTTCATCAGGAGGCATCGGGGGCCAATCCCCCTCATAAAGTTTCACTGGAATGATTGGCACTTGGTTTTCCCACGCATACAAAAGTTCCCAATATGTTTCATACATTGCTCCGGTCTTTGCTCCATAATCGTCCACACAAAAAGCCACCATCACCTTCATCTTCACCACCCCTTCCATCGTTGCCTGGCCGAACCTTCCGCCAGCGGGTTCTTCCACCATGAAAGTCTCGATACCTCGGCTCGCGAGCTCATCTTTGACGTCCTTGATGTACTCGAGCCGCTCTGGAGTATTGAACCTCCCCGAGAGCATCAAGTGGCGCCTTGGAGGTTCTGGATAGCGTGGGGGTGATGGTGGAGGTGATGGTGGCGGAAGCACTTGTGTCACTGGAGGTGGAACTGGATTCTGGATTATGGGTACAGGTGGAGGCACAGGAAGTGGAGGTAGAGGCGGTGGAGGTGGAGGTGGCGGATCTGGCGTCGCCTCGGCTGGAAACTCAAAAGTGTAGATCCGACGGCGGCATGTTTTTGTGTCCACAACCTCCATCTCGATGTCCATCCTGTCAGCGCTTGATGGAATCCAACTTGAGATCTGCACTCCACTGTTGCCGTCCAAGCGCAAAGTTTCAATCACTTGTCCTTGTTGCAAAATGTGAAGATCCCTCTCAGGAGAAAAAAGGTCAACCGCTTCCTCGCTTAGACATCTCACCAAACCTGGCACCAATTGTGCCAGCTGGTCTTCACACTGTTGGCAATTCACTTCGAGGAATGCAAGTGTGGCCTCTGGAGGTGAACCAGGCTTCAAAAACGCGACGGCTTTGATGGAAAGCGCTGATACAACTTTGCTGGCACAAAGCTGGCAAAAATGAGTCAAGTAGACTTCCATGTATCCTCCGCGAAATTGTGCTGGCACTTCCTCCCAGCTGCCATCAGGCGTTGACCGCCAAGCGGCATTTGCACCGTAGCACACCGGCACCAGCAAGCGCACTGGCTTTGGAAAAGTCACTCCCTCTGGTTTGAGTTGTATGAAAGGGCTTGCAGGTACCACCCCCTTTGGCAAAATTGTTTTTCCAACATCGATGATCTCCACAGTTGGTTTGTGATGCAAACTAACTGATTTTGGCACGATCATCAATATTGAAATGTTCTTGTGACTTGCTACCTCTGTATCGAAGCCAGGATCAATTTCAGATTTTCGTGGATGCGATACATCAGGTCGAAGGCCGGGCTTCAACCTTGAGAGTGGTGCCAGATCCTCCAAGCTGTAGTCACCTCATGGAATGGAAGTGTTCAAGCAACAAATGGATTTTCCACTAAGCCTTCACTTGGAATGAACACGGGACTGCGCTTGGCAATGACAAGAGCACGCGATTGCTTTCAAAGCATTCTGCATGTCTCCTACACATACGGTCTCAACACAAGCTACCGTTTCAATACACAAGAGAGAGAGAGAGACGCAATTTAAACACCGTTTTGTACATGAGGCAAATATTTCAACATCTTTGCTCCAACCCAAGGTCCTTGACCCGATGTCTCAACAGTAGGAAAAAGTGCGTACTGCTCAACAGTCGATGCAAGAGTGGCATTGACGCAACAAACGAAGAGTGGAGCTACAAGTTCACAGCATGCATGGGGTTTAAAACTTAAAACCACGAGTGGTGGGTAACCCACCACCTCTTCAACAAATCTCATAGAAGCAAGACTCAGGGCAACAGCATCAAAACTGGCAGAAGTAGAGGAGGAGATACGGCTTACAGCAAACCTGTGTGATACCGTTCTCACATGTTCTCAGTATCAAGTCAGCATCAGCAGCAGCCAGGGTCTGCAAACAACACCAAACGAATGCAGGTTTCCAGGTGCGACAACAACTGGCCATTAGGTTCTTGAGTCCAACATGCATATGACATACGAGGAGTTTGCTACGTCACACAACTTCTCAAGCCAGTAATAGGTGGCATTCCATCTCGTCCATTCTTCTTCACTCCCAGCCAAAACAAGATTGCCAGGCAAAGAGCTGCAAATGCTGTGCTGATGAAGCTGGGGTCAAGGCATTTGGTAACCTTGCATTGCATCAGGCCAAGGGCCAAGGCTGCTTTCTTGGACAAGTGGGAGAGGTGAATCCTCTTCAACCCACTAATGGCATGTTTTGACTTTGGGGGAAGGAGTTTTCTTTGTGTACATCAAATGCATCATTAGGCAATCATGACTGCAACTCATTCGATTTCTCTTTGGTGTCAGGGGAGGTCTAGCTGTCTTTCAGAACCAACAAAGGAGTTGATTGCAAAGTTGCCTTTGGAAGGCCTATTAAAATAGGATATGGTGGGTGAGGCTTTTCACCTCAGAGTGTACAAACTGGTGTCAATGTTCCTTACATGTTGTCTCAGGGACGTGGACATTCCTCAAGACAGAATTGCCAGTTCATGCCAATGTCAGGTTTCAGCAAAGAAGTTTTGCAGACATGGGACCACTTGAGTAACAATAATGACAAAGGCTTGTGGATATCTTGTACAAAGACAATGGGACAATGGGCTAGGAGGGCCACAGCTGACAGAACTTCACTGTGTGGCAGTGAACATGTTGCAATTGGTGCTCGTTGCCATGGATGTCATCTGCTTGGTCTTTTGTACGATGTAGCCATGCAGTACAGGAGCATGCATGAACAAGGGCATATTGCAAAATCAAGCGACGGCGGATTGCATAATGGTCTTGCATGGGGTATCACTTTTCCAAAGTAAGCATACACATGTCCAAGCCATAGTGACAAAATAACCTCAAATTCTCTTACCATGTGCTTGTCAGAATAGGGGCAATCGTTGTTTTCTTATCTGGCATGAGGCATTTTGTCCAACAGCAGCACACGAACATGGACCACTCCAGGAACAATTGGAAGGGGTTGGTTGATGTTTATGTGTCATGCGTGGCACAATTGTGAGGCTTAATCGGCTTAATGAACACCAGTGATTAAGGGACACACAAGAGAGGTCTGAGAGCACGAGGCTTGTGCATATTTGATCAAGCCAAGAGAGGTGTTGCTTGTGGTCATGTGTATGGAAAGCCAATGGCTTGACTTTTTGTTCTGCTGAAGCAACTGCTGTTTTGCTGAAGCGCAACAGCGTGAACAACTGGCATGCATTGCATATTGGCATCATTGATCAACATCAGGTGTTTTGAGTCAACACAGGTTGTTGGCTCTGCCAAAGTACCCCAGCATGTCCGACGACTATGGCACTATGGATGAAAGAGCTTCCAAAATCAGAAGGTTGGAAGGGCTTCTAGGAGGAACATTCATCCTCAGATAACTGCAAGCGTGCTGGCTCAGAAGTCATTGCAATTATTGAAAAGAATGGCCTGCCACAGTTGCATTCAAGAACATATGCTGCTGAAGCCAGGGTTACAGATGTGATTGGTAAGGATGGGCAGCCAAAATATGTTCTTTGTCAACTGCCTCTCTTGATACATGCTGCATTCCAGCAAAAAAAAAGCAAGCTTCATCTTCCACTCAAATGAAGGCATTCCTGGCAATGTGCTGTCAGCTGATGCTTTCAGGAAGGTGCAATTTGCTTTTGGCGCAGTTGCCCTTAGCAAGGAGGAAGCCTGGTTTTGTATCATGACATGCAGGTGAAGCACTGTGGCTGATATTGACGAAGTAGTGTCTCAGGTGACAGCAGTCGTTCTCAAGACGCATGCAACCCTGAATCGCAGGTTTTCTGTTGAAAGATCTGGAGAAGCAGTCAGGTTGTTTTATGTGTTGAGAGACTTCCTGCGGGATGGTTCAGGTTCAGGACACATGCTTTTCAATTTGAAGGGCAATGCAGGTACACAGTTCTCTTAATTTGCATGAACCCTTAACTTCAAAGTCTGGCCTGAAACAAGGAGATGGAACAAAACTCGTGATGTATGTACAAATGTGTGTGAATGCATGCCACCCAACAAAACCTCGCGACGATCGAAATGCACGATGCGAAAACACAAACCGCACAAACCGCGCGCAGAAAACACGCAAAACGCACGTACGGTTTTAGATCCGTAGGCTGAAACAAGCCGCTTAAACCCAGCCCAAAGAACCCGGAAGGCGTGAAGCCTTAAAGCACGCCCAAAGAAACCCTACAGAAGCGGAGCCCCAAGTCAAGCCCAAAGAAACCCTAAGAAGTGAAGCCCTTAGCACAAACTAGAAACCCCAATCAAGTGAAACCCCAAACCTAGCCCCACAAAGAAGTGAAACCCGCAACTGGGTTTCCTGACTCTGTCACAACAGTTTCCTGACTTTGACGAGCCGGTTTCCTGACTGACGGTTCCGGACTCTGGTCTAGGTTTCCTAACTCTGCCTTCTCCCAGCCTGCTTTCCTACAGCAATAAAGATCTGTCCAACTTGTTATTCAAGAGCAACTATAACCGATGACAAAACATACAGCAGCTGAGGATAAAGCGCTTTATACATCTTTATACATAAACACGATCACTGCCTCTGAGTCACTGCGTGTAGGCGTAGGGCCTTGTCCCTTCAAGTCCTCAGCCATGCAAGATGCATCTCTGCAGCGTTTGGCCAACTCATGCAGTGTTTTTTCAACCTGGTCTTCTCTGCCAAGGAAACAGGAAGAACGCTTCGACACTGGTCACAAGCACCTATGACAAAACATGATGTCATCACCCCTAAGTGCCTCCCGCAGCGGGCTTCCAAAGGGCGATCGAGCCGTCAAAGGTGAGGTCTCGGTCTTCACTGGGTCCTTGATGGAAGCTACGATCAAAGTCTATTTAGTTAAAACAACCTGAAGACTTCAACTTTGATCATTTGTTTTTCGTTCGTTTCTGCTTTCATTCTTTCCATGTGGTTTTCTGGTTCTTTGCATTCAAGAAGGCCCACTAGTCCTTCGGACTCATCCTCGACAAATTCGAACCCTGGCAAGACCAAATACAGGCCGGGCACAAATAGAGATGCCACATGGCTGTGAAGGTCAGATGTATTTAGGATGGCTGGTGGTAATACCGACATTCCAACCTCCTTTCTGCACAATTCCATTTAGCAACATATCGCTGACTCGTTCACACGTATCAGCTAGACCCACCTAAGATTTACTTCAAGAGTACGGCATTATCTGACTCTTTCAAGCAAGTATGAAGGGGTAACAGGAGGTAAAAGAACCAAGGGCACTGTCACTAAGTGCATATTGCCTGAAAATAGAAAGACCGTTCTGAAGTTCGACAGCAAACCTTGCCCAAAGCTGATTTAAACGTACAAAAAATTGCGAGACAAGGCAGGAGGAACATAGTAGGAGAAGACTATTAGCGGCAGTTCCTCGTTTGACACTCACAGGCTGATATGGTACAAACTACCTCTTAGACTCCGTTGGCCACGGTGTGTGTCACTGTGTAATGTTGCACTTACCAAGGAAACAGGAAGAACGCTTCGACACTGGTCACAAGCACCTATGACAAAACATGATGTCATCACCCCTAAGTGCCTCCCGCAGCGGGCTTCCAAAGGGCGATCGAGCCGTCAAAGGTGAGGTCTTGGTCTTCACTGGGTCCTTGATGGAAGCTACTATCAAAGTATATATACTTAAAACGACGGTGTTTGCTTGCTTTTCGTTGGTTCTTATCATTCATTTTTGCTGTGATGCTGTTTGTTCCCCGTTATTGGACCTCATAGTTGTTTTTTGATGTGAACAAATCGCACAAACAATCTCCTGAAACATGTGTCCGCCGCTTTCAAGCAGTGTCGGTCCCAGTCCCATAGATGCCTAGCGACGCAATTGCCGGAGGGCAGTTAATTTGCTACAAGAACACCTCCGAAAATCACACCAGTTTCACTCCCTGTTTTCTGCTTGAGATTTTTGACATCACCAAAGAACCCACAAGATGTGCCTGAAACATTGCCCTGCGCTCCTTTGCCTGGCAAGGCTGTCTTACAAAAAACAGGAAGCTGCAAGCGCCAACGTGAACGGTAGGACAATGTGGTTTGATATCATGAGCCATGTGAGCCACTGCAGACTTTCACTGCTTTCACCCACAACTCGAAGTTGCATGCTTTTGGGCGAAAACAATTGGTCTGATTCTTTGTCCTCCAGCTGGAACTAATTTGGATGGATTTCTGGCGTTTGCAGGCGAGTGCTCTGCACGGCTGAACACCTTTTCCAGAAAAAATTGCCGCCCACCCAGACGGCCAGCGATAGTCTTCTTCGCTCTCATCACTCCATGTTGTTTTTGCCTATCACCGACTACGGCGTCACCGCCAGCGGCAAAGAAAATGACTGGCGGACCTAGATATTCGTGGCAAGGTGCTACTTCAACCACCAGGCCCTCTGTAAAGCTCAGACAGATGGCATGTCGAGAACAGCAAAGTTCGTGTCTCGACACACTGTACAATGCGCTGGTGCAAAGCGTTGAGGGCACAGGATTGAACATCAGTAGCGGACGCATTAATTATAAGCCAAAGGTTGGAGGCCGACGCTTGGCCATGCTGGGCATCATCAGCCAAACTGGGCGCAAGTTGAAGCTATGAGATCGCCCTTGCACTGCTCAGATTTTTTCTTCTACAGGTGGACACCGTGTGTAGCAAGAACATGGTCCCGCAACAAAAGTAAAGACCATGCTGGTTTCAAGGCCATGCCTACAACGGGAGTGTATAAGGATTTTGTTGTTTTGCTTGGTTTTCGTCATTGCGTTGGGACCGCTTTTTGTGCATTTGGTTTGCGAGTGACTGCACCTTTGTTCTGAGCCTTAGAGGGTTTCCCCTCTACAAGGATGGCAGGCCAAGTGTGCCTGAGAGCAAAACGCTTGCCGATTGAATTGCGCGAACAACAGACAGAGAAGCGTCAGACACGTGCTTGACATGACCTGCTTGAAATTCTGATTCACCGAGGATTTTACCAGTTCTCCGTGTCGAAGGAAGGAGGATCTACGAGAACCGATCAGGTGAAGATGCCATTTGAAGCCACCAAGTGTGCAGCGGCACCAAGAGCATTCAACCAGCCTTGTGGAACCATTGGCAATTGGCAGAAACTAGAGGCTTTGAAGCTTGGGCTTCTCATTCTTCTTATTATCGAATCTTTCCCACGGCTAAGCCAAATGAGAAGTGCTCCTTGCTCAAGGGAAGGTTGAGACCCAGATCCCGAGGGTCAAGAAGAGACGATGGAGGAAGACGAGTTTGACACCGAGGCAGAAAGCAATGAAGAAGAGGGTGAGGAATCGGGGGCGCACCACACCTACTGGCCCCACACCCATGGGCGCACATGTGGTGTCACGAAATGCGACTGTCAGCCCAGCGTCTACGAGCACGGATCGGGCCACGTACTGGCCGCATGGCGAACCGCCATGTGACACTGCGTCAAAGGGGCGCAGCGTGCTGACTTCGGCTTCACTTGCTCGACAGTGATTTCTACAGCTCTTTGGTAGCTTTGAATTGGTGAAGACGTGACTTTTTTCGGTATCTGCATTCACCTTTGCTTTCGAGTGTCACCCTACCTCTCATACCCGGTACCACACCAGGGGCGTTGAGGCGCGGATGGATGGACGGTAAGATTCGCGTGTTTCTTTGTACAGGTGTTTGAGGATCGAAGCTTGGCTCTGCATCTGCTATGATACTCTGACGCATGCCCGTCTCTGTGGTGGGTCAGCCCAGGGCCTCAGTGTAAAGTATCAATATGGGGAGGGGGGCCTTGCTCCTGATTCTCTGGATATAAGCGGAGAGTTTGTCCTCCATGCCTGTCACCTGCAGCCCCTTGCTAGGTGGAGGTCTTACCACCTCAGCCGCGCTGGATGGATAAGATAGGTGTCCACTACCATGCGGCCAGTGCTCCGCACTTTCCTGAAAGTTTTTGCTGCGGTCGGGTGCAAATGAATGTTCTGTTGACATCTGTGATCTACACATACACGTGAAGCTCTATTCTTACTTTCCAGCATACTGTTGGTTTCTGTAGTGTGCCTCTGATTTGATCTGGGCCTAATCTTTCCTGCGTAAGATGCGTGCCTAAAACATACCCCCGGTGGAAACATCAAAGAAGTCTTTGTGTGTGTGTTTTTACTTTTGGGTGAGGATCTACTACTCCCGTATCATCAAGTTGGAGGTGCTCGATAAGTGTGAAGAGTTGACCCTGCACAGCTCTGGAACTGCATGTGATTGATCCCTTGACGTGCCAGGCAGGCAGCCCAAGAAGAATCATCATATCGTCTTGCCTCAGCCTGGAAGGCCTGAAGTGAGCACGTTTACGTGCAGCTGTAAGCGATCTCAATGGTTAGCGGTTGATCAAGTCAATCACCATTCGAGGGTTAGAACAAACCAGCATTAAGGTGAAACAACCCGATTTTAAACAAAAGACAGCCCACAACTTGCAAAACATTGATCGTATCTCTTGCATCTCCTTGCCTTTGGTGACACCGTCTTCGTGAGGCTTGGCCTTGCTTCAGCAAAGTCTTACCAAAACTGTGTGTCGTGTGCAGCGTGGCTACAGGCCAAACCAGTACCTTTCAGAGGAGTGATTTGGGTAGGATTGAATGGCAGTAGAGTTCCCAAGAGATTGCGTATGCTTCGTGGGCACTTGACCCGTCAATGATATGCGCGTGCCCTGTGAATGTGCATATTTATTCTGACACTTTCACTTTCGCAGTCTTTGGTGCATCTGGACGATTTCCTCATGATTGCACGTTGGAAGACGCACGTGCACGGAATCTACATCTACAAGAGAGAGCTGTGGAAGGAAGGTTTGTCTTCCTTGTTGGAGAGAAACAGCTTTAGGATGTTTTTTTTTGAGAACCACCATCACCCTATAGTGAATTCTCAACGGGGGAATTGCCCATGAGAGGCTTGATCAGAAAAACGCAAGTATTCCTACATTATGTGTCCAAAAACACGGCGTCCGAAAGGGGAGCATCCCGACTAGACAAATCCCAGACCAGTTCGACCGGGAGGTCAAAAGAACAAAGATTGCCAGGGAAGCCTCACCCTATTGCAGTTGCCGGCGATTGACCATACAAAAACTCGAAGGGCCCTGGGCAAAAGAATCCATGCGGCCAGAGTGCGTTGGGCACGCAAGGCTGTTGGAAAAAAGCCGTCAAGGAAAAGGCACATGGAACTGCTGGTAGCTCCATGGAAGCTAAAACCCGAAGGGCCGACCCCCGGTCGGTCAAACTGTCCATACTACAACGACAAGAGCAAGTGAGGTCTGGATAGTCAAGAGCACCTAACACAAACCTTGGGTATCACGGTCGGTTGGTCAGATGGTGCTCTTGTCTGCCCGGAACAACCAAGGTCAACGGACTAGTGCCAATGCTGGGAGTTCTTCAGGAATGTGGCTTGACAAGAGAAACGGACAAGGACAAGTTAAGAAACCATAAAGGCACCAAACAGAACTCTGGCCATCGAAAGGAGAAGGGTGAAAGGAAAAAGAACAAGCAGGAACAACAAAGCAACACAAACATAAAGACTCGAAACGTGTGGGAAGAGTAGAGGAGTTGTTTAATAAATAAGCGTGTCTGTCCAAAATAAAGTTGAATAAACATATTTGGGGGGAGAGGCTTGCAGACAAGCAGCAATTCAGCTGGTCTTTAGAGAGCAGGAAAAGAGCCAAGTAGAGGTCTCCAGAGGAAAGAAAACAAAAGACCTGGGGTGTCTACAGAAAATCAACAGATAGACTGAACCTCTAGAGAGGGCACCAAAAAATGAGGCAGGTGCGCAAAGTCAAGAAATTAACTGATTTGAGCAAGTAGTCAGAACAAGGAGGTCTTTTAGAGAAAGTATAGCTTCAGGAGAAACGTGCAGAAATGTAGAAGTGTCTAAATAAAAATATTTTGAAAAGGTGCACGATCAGTGGCCCCCATCGTAGCCAAACGGGTTGCATCAAGCAACCGGTCAATTGAGTGCAAAGGGTCGCCCTCAGCTCAACCAACCAACAGAACAACATCGCAATTCTAACATATTCTAACCTGCCAGTGGCTCCGCCAACTTCAGCTGTGCCCTGTTTAAGGCTATGTAGTGGACTGCTTGCTCATGAAAACATGAGACACAAAGGGTGTGTGGAGTGACACCACTGTCCACATTGTTTTGCGCGCAGGCAGCGTTTGTTCCGGACAAGAACGCTTGTGCTTATTCATGGTTGGCCTTATAGTGTGCTTTTTGATGATTGAGGGTATGTGCAGTCCGGGTCGCGCTTCGCAGCGGCCACTCAGCCACTCAAGATCCTGAGCGGCCACTCAGCCACTCAAGATCCTGAGTGGCTGACAGGAAGATAAGTCTGAGTGGCTGAGTGGCTGACAAGAAGGAAAGCGTGAGTGGCTGAGTGGTTGAATGGCTGGTGTGGAATAGTCGTCGTAGTAGAACTAGTATTATAATGCTAGCGCTATAGTCGTCGTCTTTGTAGTCGTAACGGTGGTAGTACTAGTCGTCATCGTAGTCGTCAGCGACAAGGACCGGTCTAAGCTTTTTTTAGGCTTTCAAGGATTTGATCGTTCCTGTGGGCACACCCTGCGGGCTTGATCAATTCATGCGGCTCGTTTTCGAGATCAAGGGATCTTTTCTTGAAGGTAGCAGTAGTAGCAGTAGGAGTGGGAGTAGGAGTAGGAGTAGGAGTAGTAGTCGTAGTCGTAGTCGTAGTCGTAGTCGTAGTCGTAGT